ACAACTACTGGGCTTCCCTAGTTGGCTCAGCTGGTAAAGAATCCTCCTGCCAATGCAAGAGATGCAAAAGACATGGGTTCGATCCTTGGATAGGGAAGATCCCCTGGAGAAGGAAATGACAACCAGCTCTAGTATTCTTGCCTGAAAACGCCATGGACAGAGGAGCCTGACAATCTACAGTCCATGGGGTCGTAAAGAGTCAGACACAACTGAGCACTCATGCACAGCAACAAGTGAGTTTTATGGGTAGAGGCCAGAAAACAAAGCAACACTTTGAGATAGACTAAGTTGAGCAGATCTTGGATGGTGCATTAATTGAGTTTCTTATACCCACTCTGCTGGTTTTTGCACCATCACTGATCATGGATTGCCGAGGTCCAGCCCCGGCAGGACCAGGAATACCCAAGAGATGAGTGGCATCGGCGAGGAAGAAGACAGACAGACAGACACACACAGACGGTTGCGTAGAAGAGGTAGCTTTTTTTTTTTTTTTTTTAGGATAGCTCAGTTTTTATAGAATGAATGTTACCTCCCCTTTAAGTCATCACATATTACATCAGATATTGGTTTGTGCTTCCATCAATATTTTTTTCCCATGTTTTTCCCCTAAGCATTCATCTAGAATGTTTCCGATTACAGGGTTTATACTTAAATGTCCCATACATAGTCTTCTTGCCTCAATGGCCTAACATTCACACTCTAACAAAAACAATGTTCCACAAGTCTCAGGTATAATGTAAATTCTTTGGACAATAAAACAATACATGGGAAGGGTCACAGTAACATGTTTGACATTTCTGAAAATATTACCATGAGAAAAACCTGATATTTTTCTTTACCTGAAACCACAAACTCTCAATTTACAATGATTAACTATTAAACAGCAAAAATACCTCTAAAGCAGCAAAACACTTCTATTAATAGTAAGATAATGGCAGTAAAGCTGGTTAATATAAATCTTCTATTAAAATCCTATATACCCCATTTTCTAATTTTACAAAAATACCCACAATATCCCATGTCGTTTAAAGAAAGGGAAACAATGAACAAATAGCAGCAAGGAAATAGCAATAGTGAAAACCCTTTCAACCAAAGAGCAAGTAAACTAAAGCAGTATATCTACTTCTAAATCTAAACACCTCTACTCTTTTCTATTCTAGAACATTATAATTAAGCAAGCAGCCAAACTATACCTGTGGCCTTTTCTTTTATGACTTGATGTTTATGGTCATGTCCTGAGCCAGAGCAATCTTGAGCATTTCCAAAAAGGCTTGGACTTTTCTAGCGAGGCCTTATTACTCTATATTATCATTTCCAAAATTTAATAGAAATCCCAACAACAGTAAGACAGAAGGAAGAAAGGGACATACCGGGCCCCTGGGACAACTTCGAGGGGAAGAGCTGCCTTGCAGATTCCTTTCTTATCCCCTGACCTTGTCCCCGGGACAACCTCGAGGGGAAGAGCTGCCTTGCAGGTTCCTTTCTTGTCCCGGCAGCTCCGGAGGGGACATATTGGGCCCCTGGGGCAGCCCCATGTGAGGAAGAGTTGCCTTGCAGGTTCCTCTCTCGTCCCATGACCTTGTCACGGACTGGGTGCATCCCGGCGGCTCCCGATAATGATCCTCATCTGTGTTAGTATATGTCATAATTCCTAGCCTCTGGGACCTTACAAGGGGAGTACTAAACTTTTTCCTTTACTTAATTTCTAATTTGGGAGAACTCAATAAAGTGCTTTATAGCTTAATTCTTAGCTTTTTAAACAACTTAGAAAGCTTAAGCCGGGAACTTCATTCATTTATTCAAAACTACAGGAGCATTTTGGGTTATCATTTTCCAAACATGAATATCAATTAGGTCATGTTTTGTTTTAAAAATATTTTGCAACTGTTTTTTGATCTGTGCCTGCATTCACGATGCACCTTATTACTATCTTAGCTTCCTCTTAAAATTTATTGAATAACTGGTGCTATTTATTTCACAAGGTTGTTGTGAATATCACATATAATGTTCTGGAAAATAACTGTGAAAAGTATCATGTGCTATATAAATACATAGATCGTAGGGGAATTCCCTGGTGGTCTAGTGCTTAGGACTCTGTGCTTTCACTGTTGAGGGCCTGGTTCCATCGGTTCTATCTCTGACCCGGGAACTACAATCTCAGAAGCTGCACAGTGTGACCAGATTCATAAATATATAAACAACAAACATTTATGGAAAATAAGATTCTAATCTTTTCGTTCATTCCTATTACCAGGTCTTATTTCCACCAGCAATCTTATCTTCACACATGCATGTATGGAAATGAGATGATCTCAGCTTTTAGGCAGTCCATGATCTATTTAAGAATTGGACCACTTTTATGGTTTTGATCAAATTATTTCAGTTTTTGGTAACTCAAACTCACATAATATACAATTAAGTTACTGACTGAAGGGATAATCACCAACCCAAAGTATCAATCAATGTTATTTCATTTCTATCTTTCTAGAAAGTCAGTGTTGTGAGTGTATGATCTCATGTTAATATGGGGTCTGATATTCACAAGCTTGAAACCTGTATTTAAAATTTAAGACAGGACTTCCCTGGTGGTCAGTTATTAAGAATCTGCCTTTCAGTGCAGGGGATGGGGGGTGGGGTTCCACCCCTCATCGGGGAACTAAGATCTCACTTGTGGTGGAGCAGCTAAGCCGCCATGCGCCACAACTAAGTTTGCATGCCACAGCCAAAGAGTCTCTGTGTCACAGTGGAAGATCCTGCGTGACACAATGAAGATTCTGTGTGCGGCAACTAAGACCCAATCCAACCAAATAAATAAACATTTAAAAATAAAATGGAAGACAGGTGTTTTTCCAATATTACCTGAATCACAGATAACTTCACCAAGGCTATTAATTATAGTGTTGGTGCTTTTATTGAGCATTAGTGGTGGATACACATTGTGATTAACATTACACATAGCATTTCTAAAGAAGCTTGTGCTGAATCCAGATTGTTTAATAGAGCTTTAGCAATCCAAGTATATTTATTGCTACCATTCTTCACCTTTCTGAAGAGTCCTGTTGACACTTTTCATATATGTATTACTGTTTATTAAATTGCGTTAGAGTTTGTGTTTCTGCCAATAGAGTACTTAATATTACCAGAATCAGAAACAGAAAACTGTGTTGTTGAAAGCCTAGCTGAATAAGGTCAATTTGTCAACTGGCTGGTTTCAATAATAAATGGTAAATAATATTCAGGTTTTTCTTATTTAGGAAACTTTTAGCTCTCTGTCCTCACTAGCGGGAACAACCCTTAGGCAGTTGCTGAAAGAAACTGAACCTTTGGACTTTTAATGAAATTATTACCAGATGACTTCACTTTGTACTGTCATATTTTTATACTTTGTGAAATCAACACATATAAATCCTTCATTATTTCATGTTGAAAACACAATGAATAATTTCTGGAGAAAGTATGATATTTTTTCCTGTCTATCAATTAAAGCAATGGCATGAAATCTATGTGAATATATTTTAGCATGAAATAAATAAATTCTAGGGTGGAACCAAGGTGGCAACACAGCAGACACTTATGACTGTGTTTCCTCTTCCTCACCTTTTAGATGATGTATGTGATAGATACCTATGTTCCCCTAAAATTCATTTATTGAAGCCTAACAGTGTGATGGTATTTGGAGATAGCATCATTGAATGGTAATAAGGTTTAGATGAGGTTATGAAGGTGTGCCCCTCAGAGTGGAATTTTTAGTGCCCTTATAAGAAACACCGGAGAATTCACTTCTCTGTCTCCTTCTGGCTAAAGACCATGTGTGGAAACAGTGAGAAGGCAGCCATCTGCAACTCAAGGTGTCTCACTACTCCTCTGGCACCTTGATCTTGAGCTTTCAGTCTCTAGAACTGCAAGAAATAAATTCCCATTGTTTAAGCAGTCCTGTCTATGGTATTTTTGTTAAGGCAGCACGAGCTGTCCAAGACATTAGGTGTGCATAATTTCTTAAACTACGTGGATTTAAAAGGTGCCAGAATCACTTTGCATTTATAATAAGCTTTAACTTTAATTTACTAGGTCATAATCTGTTTCTATCATTCACTAATTCTATGGAAAACAATGTCAGAGAGGCATTAATTTCTTGGGCCCTCTCACTTTCACTGCCAATAGGAATCATTTCCATTCTGAGGCCATTTTTGGAGGAATATCTCTTACAGAATTCTTCACTACTTCTTAAGAGTTGCAACATATCAGGCGGGAAATCGAAAGGTTCCATAAGAAGCCAATGCTGGCTGGTTGGTAGGCACTGTTCCCTCCAACCAGCCTCTTAGATCAACAACCTACTTAACATTGTCACTTAGTCTCCTAGGCGTCTCAGATCTAACATGTTCAATACTGATTTTTGATTTGGCCATCCCAAACAGTTCTTCCTCCAGTTGCCACCATTGGCAATGATACATAAAACTGGACACTAGTTAAAGTAGTAAGGGTGATTTAAATTGGTCATAGACTATTAATAATAGGGAAATTATAGGGAAAAGAATCTGATGTGAATTGAACTCAACTTTGATTTATAGATGGGTGACTGTGTGTTTTAAAGGGAAGAGGAGGGAATAAGGGGTGGGGGTAAGTGAGGGCCCTGTAGAATCTGGAAAGCCAGAGAAAGTTACAAAGAGCAGAAAGAGGGGTCAGGCCCCGCGAAATCCTTCACGGTTTGCCAAGCGGCACTTATCAAAGGAGGCTCCTGCCCTCTCTTGGAGACTGGGAGATGGGACCCTCCCTTCTGGTGCTGACTGGAACCGGCCAGCCAGCAGCAGTAGATTCTTTTGGAAGCTTTGAGTCTTCTCAATGGGCACTTTAAGGGGACTAGGGCCATTCTAGGGATACAGCCTCGAGTTGTTAGAAACTAAGTTTTTGTCCACGTTTGTATGGGCCAGGGTTAAGAAGACTGCTCAGAAGAGCCTGACTAGAGTTTGGTCAAGGAGAGAAACTTTGTCACCAAGACATCAATGGTCAAATCCAAAGCATCAGTAAATCAAGAAGGCTATACCTTAAAAATGGAAAATGATCTGACCACTTCTCACCATCTGAGCTGCTACTGCATGGTAAGTCACCATTATCTCTAAATTGCCAACAGATTGCTGATAGATCTCCTTGCTTCTCTACTAATCCACTTCAGTCTATTGTCAGCATAGCTGAAGTCGTGACGCTTTAAAACACAAGTTACATCATGTCCAGCTAAGGCTCCAATCCCTTAAGTGGCCGTTATCTCGCCCAGAGGATGAAGAATGTGCTTGCAAAGGTATGTAAAGTCCTGATGTGATCTTCCCCAGTGTTCCTGCTCTGTAACCATTCTATGACTCACCTCTGGCTCAATCCACACCAAACTCACTGGCCCCTTACTTTGCTTTAAACAGGTCATCAGATTTCTGGATTATAGCTCTAGTTCTGCTTGGAATATACTTCCTACAGAGATTTTCATGTCTAACTTGCTCATGTCCTTTAATCCTTTGCACAAACATCCTTTGCTTTACAAGGCTCCTTTGGGCACCCCATTCTATACTGCCACCTACTTAGTCACCTCCCTTCCCCTACCTCTGTTTCCGTGTTCCTTTTGTTCCACAGCATTTATCATCTTCTAACATACTATATGTTAATTTACTTATTCATTATCTTTAGTTATTATTGCTTATTCTTCCCGCTAGAATATAAGCTCCACAAGGGCAAGGATATCCTCCCTACTTCCACTGATGTATATTTTTTCCATCTAAACTAGTACTACAATATAGATGTTAAATAAGCATTTATTGACTAAAATGAATTAGGCTATCTATGTGAAATTTCTTAGTGCTATAAAATAAGCTCCATTCATGCTGTTTTTCATTAGCTGGTATATCTTAGTATTTGGCATATAAATGATTCCTGAGAGGGGCAGATTCTGGCTCTGAATTTTGCTAAGGAGCAGTAAATATTTACTGTCTCTGTTTTCCTATGTTTTCCATCTGTGAAGAGGGGGAGAAAGAAAAAATTCATTTAGAGGGAAAGAGAAAGTCAGATGGGCACAGATAGGAAATGGAACCATCATTATTTCAGTGTTTATATTGTACTAGTAAACGTACTGGTTAATTGAATATCTAAACTCACCCTAAGGCCAAAGACCACCAAGATTTGGAAGAAATACTCTAAGTACATACAGTCATGAAAACTTTACACTTGTCAGAAAACATGTATTTCCTGTGTAAGAGAACAAATTTTTGGCTCATCTTAGTCAAAACCATGAATTTTCTTGTTTATTTCTCTAGTTATTGGTGTGCCATTTTTTATGCTCTTTAAGCCCTCTTCACTTATGGTGTAAATAATTTTTGTTTAAAAATACTATGTGGGTAGAGAAAGAGTAAATGGGCTCTCTCCTCTAAAGCAAGGAGACCAGTGAGTCTGGTGTGGATTGAGCCAGAGGTGAGTCATAGAGTGGTTACAGAGCAGTGGCATTGGGGAAGATCACATCAGGACTTTACAGGCCATAGCAAGCATATTCTTTCATCCTCTGGGTGAGATAAGGGCCACTTATGGGATTGGCGGAGAAGGCAATGGCACCCCCCTCCAGTACCCTTGCCTGGAAAATCCTATGGATGGAGGAGCCTGGTGGACAGGGTCGGACATGACTGAGCGACTTCACTTTCATTTTTTACTTTCATGCATTGGAGAGGGAAATGGCAACCCACTCCAGTATTCTTGCCTGGAGAATCCCAGGGACAGGGGAGCCTGGTGGGCTGCCGTCTATGGGGTCGCACAGAATCAGACACAACTGAAGTGACTTAGCAGCAGCAGCAGCAGTATGGGATTGGAGCCTTAGCTGGACATGATGTAACATTTTTTTAAAGCATTGCTCTTTCAGCTGTGCTGACAATAGACTGAAGTGGGTTAGTGGAGAAGCAAGAAGATCTATCAGCGAAATACAAAATTTTGTATTTTAAAATACAAAACAAACAAATGTGTTGTTTAAGAGACCACATTCTTTAGCTAAACTTCCTGGGTTCTAACCTCAGCTTTGCTATGCTAACACTGCAATTATAGATAAGTGATATACAACTCTCCAACTTACTTTTTACATTTATAAAATAATAATTGTCTATACCTGATGGAGTTCTTTAGAGGAATAACACTTCACAAAACAGTGCCTATTACATACTATTTATTATTGTTGTTGTTTAGTCGCTAAGTCGTGTCTGGCTCTTTGTGACCCTATGGACTGTAGCCCGCCAGGCTCCTCTGTCCATGGCAAGAAACTGGAGTGGGTAGCCATCACCTCCCCCAGGGGATCTTTCAGATTCAACCATTGTCTCCCGCATTGGCAGGGAGATTCTTTGCCACTGAGCCACCAGAAAAGTCCATTTACTCTATAAGCTATTTTTTTTAATGAAATAACGGAGTAATTTATGAAAAAACATGTACAATTTAAAATGTTTTTTATACATTCTATTTTCATAAAATGATACTGTTCATACCATAGTCACTGAATCATGGAGCAAATTGTCATAACTGTTATTATTGAGCTGCACTATGCAGGCCAGCAAGCCTGTGCTTAACCAGCCTTAAGTCCAAAGAAATGTCTTTGATGTCTGCAACAGAGACAGCAAAGGTTTAAGGGATGGGGGAACTTGCATGTCTGATACAATATCCTTGAGAAATATCCTATCATGTGTGGGGGACTGCAGGCAGGACACCGGGCAGTCTTTGCTCCAGGGGCCGGGAGTTACAAATTATAGGGGGAATTGACATCAAGTTGACTTACTGGTTACCAGGGGAACCAGCAGAAGGCATGTCCCTCACTGCCCCTTTTGATAAGCTATCATGGTGGCTAAAATAACAGTTATTAGTCAGGGCCTGGGGCAAGTATGTGAGTAGGTGTAGGTGAAGCAGGCACTTACTAGTCAAGCAGGGGATATAGAGAGAGGAAGAGAATAGCCATCTTGGGTTGCTGTATCATTCTTTTAAAAAATACTCCTATTGACTCATTTGAAATTTCATTTCCTATACTGGAAAATTTATTATATGAAATAATGGGTTTAGAGAGAGATACAGTAGACTATAGTGTTGAAAATCTTCTCTGCATCTCAAATGATAGTGTAAGGGTGGTAAAATAATTTTCCGTTTACCCTTCTGAGTTCTTGGCAGAGATCCCCGTAATAAAAAACAGATGAGCAAGTGAAAAAAAGCCCAGAGGTTTACTAGCACATATCCTCATGTATATGTTGTTGTTATATGTGTGTGCGTGCTTGTTGTTTCCAACTGTTGCTAAGAGTCATTTCCAACTTAGTCATTTCCAACTCTCAGACCCCACAGACTGTAGCTCATCAGGCTCCTCTGTCCATGGGCTTTCCCAGGCAAGAATACTGAAGTAGGTTCCCATTTCCTTCTCTAGGGAATCTTCTTGACCCAGGGATCAAACCTGCATCTCCTGCAGGTCCCCTACACTGCAGGCAGATTCTTTGCTGCTGAGCCACCAGGGAAGATGACATGGGAGATAATCAGAGAAAAATGAATAATTCTCAGAGGTGGCTTAGAACTTCGGCTTAAATGCCATCTTCAGTTAAAGAGAAAAGGAAGGTATGAGTAAACTACCTGTGGGGTAGTTACCAGGAAAAGAAGGATAAACAAGCATAAGATTTGTTATATAGATTTAAGTCCCTGCCTTCATTATGGTAAGGGTCCACACTTGTCTCAGAGTACTCATTTCTGTCCTTCCTGGTAGAGAGTGGAGGAGTGTCACTTTTGGTCCTGCTTTTAGACAAATGGAGAATAACTTTCCTTGTATCTGCTTCTTCTCACTTGCCTTCAGAATAATCCTTGTGCCAAAGTGAAATATTTTGGGGTGGGATATTCTGCTACCCTTCAGTAGGAGTTTCCCTGGGTAGTTCTTTCTCTAAGAAAGAAACACACTACCTAGAACTTCAAAGGGTCTGCTATTTTATCCTATTTACCAGCTAACAAGTAGCCTGCCACAATTTCACAGAAGTTGACAGAAGGACAGAAGAGGTTTCTCTGTCAGAGACAAAGGACTTTGTTACTCACAGCACAATAGGCTGTGGATTCCTCAGCCAGAAGGAATTCTCATGGATTCCTTTTGCTCCTAAGTTCCACTGAGTGAAATGAAGCTGCTAGATGGGTAATACAGAAGCAATGGGTTTGAATCACCATGGAGGAACTCTAAGTTTAGGAAAATTGTGCTAGCATACCTAAGCAAACTTTGCCTTGGAAGGAAAGTTTGTCTTTGCTGTCCTGCAGCCAAACTTCTCTCTGCCCTTGAAGAAAATAGTATCTCTATCTTGAAATTATGGGTTTCCTAGGTGGCAATAGTGGTAAAGAGCTCGCCTGCCAATGCAGGAGACATTAGGAATGTGGGTCGGGAAGACTCCCTGGAGAAGGGCATGGCAACCCCCTCCAGTATTCTTGCCTGGAGAATCCCATGGACAGAGGAGCCTGGTGGGCTACAGTCAGACATGACTGAAGCGATTTAGCACATTTTGAAATTATATACATAGAAATGCAAGGGGCCCAGGGAGTGTTGACACAAATGCAATGCATTGATAAAGCTAGTACGATGAAAAGAAGATGCACAAAAATTCTGACCAGAGATTTAGACTAAAATTGTAAATGTAAAACACTTGGTTCTTTCTGAGCATTTCTTTGAATATGTAGTTAATCAATTAGAATAAAACTTTGCAATGATTTTGATAGGGACAGAATGGACAAAGTGTTTAAATAGTGAATGACACTGCTGCTGCTGCTGCTGCTGCTAAGTTGCTTCAGTCGTGTCCGACTCTGTGCGACCCCACAGACGGCAGCCCATCAGGCTCCGCCATCCCTGGGATGCTCCAGGCAAGAACACTGGAGTGGGTTGCCATTTCCTTTTCCAAGTGAATCACACTAGGGGATTGTAAATAGAAAAATATGGGAGACTCCTGTAAATTAAGAGGTTTGCTTAACCCCAAAACAAAACAAAAAAGCTTAACCACAAAACAAAAAAGCAAGCAGGCTTGCTTAACAAAACCATGCAACAGAAGGATGGGACACGCCTCCAAACAACAAAACAATGGTGGTATGAGACGCACATCCTGTCTTGTGAGCTCAGTAAATTTATGATCCCTAGGACATGTTCTCTGCACACATTAAAAACAATTTGTGGACCTAGTTTGATCACACAGGGACAAGAAAACGACCCTGTTCAACCTGGAAGAGGAACTAATGATGGAAGCATGACATCTACTCAAGAAAGACAAAGAAGGTCTTTTCCCCCTCCCCACTTTTCCTTTGATTATGAAATTGTAGTCCACAAAATTCTTGGGCACGACATTTCTCACCCACCCTCTTGTAAGTCTCACAGGCGTCCTATTCTAATAAATCACTTTTTATTTACCTCTTTGCTCTGGCTGAATTCTTCTCTGCACTGAGCCAATAAAGGACTATGATACCAGAGTTCTTTGGAGCCCTCTTGAAATGATATCAGTTTGTTTCAATTTGTTTTGCTTTGTAATGTTTTATCATTTGGTGCTTTAATGAGTCAAATGTTCTTTCCTCTTATCAAAAAGTTTTTAGCATCCCCCTTTATCTATTTATGCCAGGTTAACCTCATTGGCCAAAGTATTTCTTATTGCGTTAGCGGAACCAAGGCACGCTTTCTCAAGGGTGCTTTGTACCTTAGCAATCTTCCTTTCTGTCTCTTTCTGGGAAAATTAGGTTTTACAAAGTTGAACAAGTTCCTCCTCTGTAGGGTAGCTGAACAAGTTCCTCCTCTATAGTTACTCAGCTTTGCAAGGCTAATTTCCCCTGCCAATAGGTAACACTTTCTTCCACATCTTTACTTTTTTTTTTTAACATCCTTATTTTTAAGAAACATTTTAGCAGTTGTCTTATTCTAAAGAGGTAACTCAAAATAATATCACCATGGTCTTTTTGTTTGTTTCTAAACTAAATTTACAGCTGTCCTTCCCATGTGTGTTTCCTTTTTCAGGCTGAAGCTGCAAAATTCACTTGAACTCCAGAGAAAAGCAGAGCTGTTCAATGACTATTACTTAATAAATCAAAGTAATTAAGCATTTAACTTTTCACTGAGTGATTAAAAAACAAGCTGCTCCTTTCGATGGATATTATTAGGAGGCACAACTCAAGTTAAGAATTTGCCCAAATGTTGAGTCATCTACTGGGTTACTAGATAGTATATAGAATGCCTTGTATATTATCAGAGTATAAACAGCAAATCATTTTTTAGTACAAGTGCATGTCTCATTCAACGTTTGGGACGTGCTCATATTTTTTTTTTAATTCATTGTTTATTTGAAAATAAAATTTAACTGAACATCCTGTATTTTTATTTGCTAAATCTGGCAACTCTTGTCACCATTTGTCTACCAAACAAGCTATAATAACCTTTTTGTAAAATTTGGTGTCAAGAGCGTTTTAGCTTAGATGCACTACCGTTGGAGTAGAAGTCAAAGTTTCATAATTTTGGTGCTACGGAAAAAGAGATGTAAGTAGCTCTGCAAGTTTTGAAATTCATAGATAAACATTTCGCAGTCCATCTTTAAAAAAGTGGACGAATAGGTAAAAAGAAGTCATGGGTGGGCTGGTCTGGGATTTCTAAGGTGAAAAGAAACCGGTCTAGAGAGCCTTTCCAAAGAGTGTGGAAGTTACAGCAGCAAAGGTTTCTTTGCAGTTTAGGAAGGCTAGGGCGCAAGACCTACACTAGTCAATAGGGGCGGAGTAGGAAAAGGCTGGGCGCGTGAAGCCAATCAGAGACGAGATGGGTGGGACTAGACGTGGGGAAGGGGCGGGCCTAGGCCGGATAGGCTGCGAAGGGCAGGTCTCAGCCAATCCGAACCGAGTAGGGCGGGGCTGGACTCCGAAAAGGTTGGTCTCGAGGCCCTGAAAGGCGCTGTTGGTGCGTCTCTCACCCTCACCTGCGCCTGCACCTGCACCTAGACCTCCGCTCTTGTCCCAGCCGGGCGGTCGCCGACTCTACGGCTGACGCTCGCAAGATTGTTATGGCCTACCCGGGATACGGAGGAGGGGTGAGTCCCGGCCGCTTCGGCGCGGCCTCCACCCGCGTGGGATGTGACGCCCCCGTGGGCGGGGGCCACTTGCCGGGTTCACCCTCTGTCAGCCCTTGCTAACTGCTGCTTCTGGTACCCCGCGGCTCCAGGACTTCGCGCACTGGCGGAAGCCGGGGCTGGGGCCAAACGGAAAGCCACAGGTGTTCTGGCGCCTGGTGGCCCCTTAGGCGAACCCTTGTGGAACCATGGGTGTGGAGTGTTTTTAGAAATTTACTTCTTGGGATAGGGGAGCAAAGCATCTTTGTTGCAGTATCTTTTTTGGTCTGCCCTCCCTTCAGCCCTCCTCCCCCGGCCCCATTCCCCGGTTTTGCTAGACATCCTTTCCCTGAATTTTTTTGACCACTTCTTTTCAGTTCTTTATGTGACTTATGAGTAAATTAAGATATGCTAAATGCCTTCTGATGTTTATTACTCTACCAAGGGCAGTCTGTTCAAAACTTTGGGGGGCTGGGTTGTGGGGGAGAAGATTATACTTTCTTACCTAATTGTTTATCCTGCATCACCTTTGGGAGTTGGGAGTTGTAGTATCGACATGGTAACAGCATATACAACAAAATTTATATGTATTTTAAGGTAGTATCACAGTGTGGTCAGAATTTTCAAGCAGAAGGATATATGTTAAGCATAGAAAACTTGTACAGATGAGCTATTCGTGGAAGAAATAGAATGAAGAATACGTTTCACAAGTAAAAGAAAAAGGGTAAACTTTCTAAGGGCTTCTCTGATAGCTCAGTTGGTAAAGAATCTGCCTGCAATGCAGAAGACCCCGGTTCGATTCCTGGGCCAGGAAGATCTTCTGGAGAAGGACTAGGCTACCGACTCCAGTATTCTTGGACTTCCCTGGTGACATGACTGAGGGACTTTCACTTTCAGTCATTTATAAATACATGTTCCAGAAAAGCCTTTTCATCTTTCTTAAAAAAAAAAAAAATGGTTAGGAACAAGTATCAGATCATTATACTATTTAGATAGCAAAGGATACCTACCAAAGAGTGATGTAAAACTTTATTTGAGATGCTACAGTAGAGGGTCTAGGTTCACTAAGGCTCAGTGGTAAAGAATCCACTTACCAGTGCAGGAGACATAGGTTCAATCCCTGGTATGGGAAGATGTCCTGGAGCAGGAAATGGCAACCCAGTCCAGTATTCTTGTGGGGACATCCCAAGGATAGGGAAGCCTGGCTGGCTACCATTGATGGGGTCTCAAAAGTCGGCCACAACTTAGCAACTAAACAACAACAATATGCTTATACTTGGTTTGGCCTCTCTTCTTAGAAAAAAATGTTCTTTCAGCTTTTCCTCCTTCTGTGAACCTTAAGGTGGTGAGGGTCTCCAGTAAGCCTTAAATTCTTGGATATGCCCCAGGCCTTGATTGCCCCCCATGTCCTTGGAGGCCTTGGAACCAAAAGTCTAGGTGTTTGTTATTGCCTCAGAGCAAAAGTTGCTTTGGGAATTTTGCTAATCCTTTTACCTCTGGGTCAAAACTTGTCCCCCAATACTGGCCTGAAACTTTCCCTGGATCAGTGAGGTAACTCAAAAAATAATATTTTATGCAGTTTTTAAGTTTAAAGTTGATCTTTATATCATAGTTACCCTTATTAGAAATAGGATTTTTTTCCTTCATAGGAATTTTTGTAATTTATAGAATTTAAATACTTTTAGAAGGTCCATTTTATTTACCTTTTCAAATGTGTTGGTAAAAAGGTGTTCATAAGCATGTGTTTATATGTATATATATATATTTTAAGTTCTCTTTATGGTTATATACACTTTTTTTTTTCCTGGAAACTGGCCTGTTCATCTTTTCAAAGAAGTAACTTTTATTTTTATTTGTTTATTTTAAAAGATTGTATTTACTTATTTGACTGGATCTTCATTACCGCCTGCAGGCTTTCTCTAGTTGCAGCAATCATGGACTTCTCTCTAGTTGCACTGAGTGGGCTTCTCATTGCAGTGGCTTCTCTTGCTGCGAGCGTGGGCTCAGGAGCTCGGGCTCAGTAGTTATGCCTTGGTCTTAGTAGCCCTGGGGCGTGTCAGGTCTTCCCAGACCAGGGGTTGAACCCATGTCCCCTGCTTTAACAGGTAGATTCTTAACCACTGACTAGCAGGGGAGTCCCAAAGAAGTAACTCTTACACAGTCACTTAAAAAAAATTCATTATATTATTTTAACGTTTATTGTTTCCTGTCTTGTACGTATTGCTTTCTAATCTAGTTTTGGTTGCATCCCTGAGCACATTTCCTGGAGTTCCCATATGTCATTCATTTTGCCTTTAAGGTATCCCAAGCTGCAGCTTTTCAAACGGCTATAAAAGGCTCCTTTCTGCTCCACTCCCCCCAACCAATACTTATAATTCTTTTCTCTTTCTGACTTCCATCAATCTCTGCTCATTCTTCAAAAGTAGTCAAGATATTTCTTCATCCTCCAGACTCATTAAAAACACTGAAAAAAATGCCTCTCTGGACTTTCCCAGTGGCTCAGGGGTAAAGAATTCACCTGCAACACAGTAGATGTGGGTTCAATCCCTGTGTCAGGAAGATTCCCCTGGAGGAGGAAATGGTAACCCACTCCAGTATTCTTGCTGGAAAAATTCCATGGACGGACGAGCCTGGCAGGCTCCAGTCTGTGGGGTCGCAGTGAGTCACAGATGACAGAGCGACAAGCATGCAAAATGCCTCTCTAAGATATAAAAGAAGGCGTACCAAGTTCCGGAGTAAAAAGAAAACAATGACCAGAGCCAAAGCAGAGCCAAAGGTCAGACTGCCTATATTTGGATCATGGTTTACCTGGTACTAGCCATTTAACTTTAACTAATTCAGGAAACTGCTTGATGTTTTATGTCCTCAACTGAAAAAAGGCCATAGTACTTTCATACCTCACCGACTTGTTGGGAAATCTAGGGAGAAAGTAGTTAGAACAGTGCTTAAGATACAACAAGCTCGCAATAAAGATTAGCTATTACTATTGTTGGTATCCTTGTTATTCTTATTTTCAAGAGGACCATGGTTTGAATTACCACCTTATTGTTCTCTTCATTGGTGTCTTGCTTTTTAAAACAATACATGTTCTTTGGTGGACAGGATGTTTCAGCCCTGTGCACTTTCCCATGATTTGGTCCTGGTCACGTTTCATTGTGTTTACTATGTATTCTTCTATGTATGTATCTTTAGGTTTGCTACTTTTTCATTTTACTATAGGTGAAATTTTCTTATATTTTTTAACTTTTTGCTTTGGTGATGATGATAAATACTTTTTTAAAGTGTGCCTCATTCTTAGAGGCTAGAGACTTCTTTTTTCTTTAACACTTTAAAGAACATCGGATAATATTTGTTAATGAGACAAATTAAGTAATACAGGGCAACTAACAGTTTGTAGTTAACAGCTTTTCTGATAATTTGGGAAGTTTCAGTAACTCAATTTTTACTTTTCAACGGACTTCTCATAAATATTTTCTTTTAAACCAAATTTAGTGTTTAATGGCTAATATTTATGTTAATAACCTCCTCCCTTTTCACACTTTTAGTTTGGAAATTTTGGCAATCCAATGGGACAGCCAGGATACCCTGGACACCCAGCTTATCCAGGCAGTATTTCAACAGGAGACCCCATGTGGAAATGCTTCCTTGCTATTGCTGGCCAGGTAAAATGTTAAATATACAGCACAAATATCAGTTTAAAAAAAATTATTGCAATCTAAAACAAATGTCAAGCTCTTTTATTTAGTGTATCATTTAAAATGTATATGAAATTTGTATTTTAAACTTATCCAGTTTTTCTCCTGAGATCAGAAGTTAGGGTGGTCATAATTATCTTATTAAAAATCTGTTAGTTTGGTGTCTAACATGTTAGGAGCCAGGGTGGTGCATGAAACTGAGCCAGGTACGATCTGGGAAGAAGTGATCTCTATGTAAATCTTCTTGAGGAAGCTGGGGCAGAGGATCACAGAGACTTGTAAACTGTGGATGTTTCTGGGAGAGCCTTGATGGTAAAGCAGATCAGGAAAAGGTAAAAGAAATGGGGCGGAATGAAGGCGCAAATATGAGTCTAATGAGCAGAGACAGAGATTCACTCTTGAGACTTAGACACAGACCATGTCTCTTTCCTTTTACAGTAGTCAAGAAGATTTATTGAGTGGTTAGAATTTCAGAGAAGTTTGATAACATTTTCCATTCATTATTCATTCATTTAAATGTTCACTAGATCCCATATGTCTTTCTAGAAATATATATACACAGAATTATTATATGTTGCAAACACTTTGTTTTGGCTACCCAAATTTCATTCAAAACATCCTTTTCCCTTTTCATGTGTATTAGAGGTTGGAAAACCCTAATCGTGTCTCGGACACCTTTGTATAAAGGTAGCTATGTGCTATAATACTGGCCATTGAGATCTAGGTGTAATTTCTCTAGGATGCTTTCCTTTTCCAAATGAGGAAAGCTTAGCTGAAACTAGTGTTAGCCCTTTTTCGTCCTTCTGTAAAGGGGACTACTTGCCTGGAAAGGGGACTTGAAGTATGGAGGTGCTGTAGCCATCTTGTGATCTTGAGGCCAGAAGCTTGGGATAAAAGCCTGTTGGATGGGGGATTTGGAAATATGAAAAGAGATTGATGGCCTTGTTAAGTTACCACAGAGTCTTCATCTGCCTAGCCCCAGTAAACATTTTATTTGTTTAAACTCCTTTGATAATATTTTCTACCGTTTGCAGCTAAATGCAATCCTGTTGCCTTATACCACTCTTATCTGCAAGGAACTCTTAAGTAGTATAATACTGGGAAAAAGTATGTAATCTATAGCTGACTATATAATAAACTCATTTTATAAAACTAAAACTTAAAATATAGGAGCCAGACATGTACATTTAGAGACCTTTATTTGACTTGCAAACTATTTCGCTGTAACAGTTGTCAACAGTGATTTGCTATGATTGTACTATTTGACACTTTCCTTAACTTTTTGTTCTACCAAATACTTGGGTTTATTTCCCCAAAACAACTGGATTAAAATGCAATAAACAAACTGGTATATACTTAAATATCTTAGAAATTTAAGACCATCAGGTAAATCTAACAGGCTTGATAGACCTCAGCAGGGTCGATATCAAGAGAGGCAAATGAGGTGAATGGTGCAAACATAGGGTCAGAGCCTTTATTTAAAAACTGGATATTTTTTCACAGATTTTTTTGCATTAGTTTTTTTTAAAATATTGCATTAAAACATAATTTATTATAACTACTAAGTTTTTTTAAACTTCCTCAGATTTAAAAGTTAGTCTCTCATTTGCCTGATAATGTTTATAATACTCCTTAGAAGTGTTTATAATGCTCCTTAGATGTGTTTATAATACTTCTTAGAATTAGTTTGTAAAAGTTTTGTTTGTTTTTTAGATTCTTATAAATTACATGCTTTAAATTTGCCTCCTTAATCCTTTTCCAGAGCTGTTGTTTTGAATTCATGACCATGTATGAGATGCTTCCAAGTAAATTATTCTACTCTTTATTTTTGTAGAAAATAGGATGAGGTACTGCAACATAATGAGAGTATTCAACCTGTTCCACTTTGACTGTGATTTCTTATTTGTGATAAAAGATTTTTTTCCCATAAGAATGGCAAAGAATATTTGGACAGAACTCAGAAGAATAGCACCAAAATGTAGCGGGACTCTCAAGCTGAGAGTAAAGATGTAGAGAAAAATATTTTCTCTTCCCAGTTAAAGATTCAGTATCCTTTAGAAATAAGCTCCCCTCAAAAGAAGTGTGAAAGAAAATTTTTGAGACTTCTCCGAACACATTTTAGGCATTTTTTTTAACTTTTTATAGTAGAAGTATAATGATTCTCACAAGATTTTACTTTGCATTATTATAGGACAAAGTGATCATGCTGTTTTTCAGAAGTAGAGAATATAAATTATATGTGAAATGCCTGCATAATTTAATAGAATAAAATTTGATTGTGAAAAAGTATTCATGTTGTGTGATGTTCTTTAATGTGTCTTTGTCGTCAGTAATTTTCTCTATAATTTTGTAGTTGATAATAGAGTAATATTTTGATGACTGCATATTTATTCATTGGCCTTGAGCAGCTAGTTAGCATTTTAGTATGCTTTTATACAACTTTTTTTATTAATCAGGTTATAATTATTTTTTAACAGGATGGTGAAGTGGGTGCTGAAGAACTTCAGAAGTGTTTAACACAGTCTGGAATTAGTGGAACTTATTCTCGTGAGATCTTTTTTTCTTCTTTCTGTCAAAATTGCACTAGGAAATTCACTTTCTAACTTTTTTGTTTCCATACTTGAAATATTTTTTAAAACTTTTTTATCACATACACTCACACACATAATGCAGAGTCAAATAATACTACAAATCTTGTTAAGTAAATACTGTTGAGTGTGCGTTCCCCTCCCCGACATTAACCACTCTTAGAAAAAATCCCTTTCAACTTCTTTCAGCTAATTCTTTTGAAATTTGCCTCCATATCTCAAAGCATGCTTTTATTGCTGTTGATTTTCAGTTTTGATGGTGATCAATGATTATGTCCTGCTGTGGACAGTGAGGATGTAACCCTTTCACCCGTGTCCCTGCCCTATGCGCAGGAGCCCTTCCCTTCCCCTCCAACCAGTGTAGCTGTTAGGTAATTTTCATTAGGTCAGTAATCAGCATTTGCTTTATTGTTACTGTCTAAATGCTTTTCTTGAGTCTTAGAAGAATATATGATTAATTTTCCTTTTTCTGTAACTGTTTGCTTTTTCTGAAATTAATCCCCATCCTGGAGCTTTCTGTTGTGCCTCGTTTTCTGTGCATAGCTGTCATGATGCACTCATCTGGAGCCCTTTCCTCTCTCTCTTGAGTTGGGTCTCCATTCCATCACTTGTTCTCATCTTAAATTTGATAAAATACATTATTAATTAGCTTCTTAATAAAAGTACATGGGAAACAAACCTTTTGAGACTTTCTGTGAAAATGCTTTCATTGTGTCCTCAGAATGAAGTGACTAGCCAGGTATAGAACTCCAGATTACAAAACATTTTGACTTAGAGTTTTAAGCTCCATTGTTTCCAGCTTCCATTATTGTTTGATCTTTTTGTTTTCTGCCTGTATATCATTTGTTTTTAGTGTGTAGGGGCTTGTGAGAGCTTCTCTTTGCCCTTGGTCTGAAATGTCACAGTGCTGTTTCTTGGTGTGTGGGGGATACAGAAGGAGTTTTCCAATCGAGACTCATTTGCTTTCATTCTGAACAGTTTTCTTCAGTGTCCTTTTCTCCATTTTCTCTTTGTGGAATGTCTGCCATTTGGATTGGGTCATTTTCCTTTTTCTCTCCTGCCTCTTGCTTTCTTCTACTTTTGGAGAAATCCTGGGTGGCTTAGTGATAAAGAACCTGCCAACAATGCGGGAGACACAGGTTTGATCCCTGGGTCAGGAGGATCTCCTGGAGAAGGAAATGACAACCCACTCCAGTATTCTTGCCTGGAAAATCCCATGAACAGAGGAACCTGGCAGGCTACAGAGAGTAAACAACAACCTCAACTTTCTTTTTCTTTTTTTTTTATTACTTCGGGAACTTGAGTGTCATCCTTGTGCAGAGGCCATACTAATTGTCTCTGTATTATTCCAATTTTAGTATATGTTCTCCTGAAGTTCTATTGAGACTTTCATTTCTCCTATCATGTTTTTAAAATCCAAAAGCAGTTGTTCTTTTTTTTCATGAGTGTGATGTCTTTCCTTATCTCTCTGAGATTTTTAATGTGTTTTTTTTTTTCTAAGTTTTTTTCCTCCTACATAACCTACTTCTTCAATGTTTTTTCCATGGTTTGTTCATTTGACTGTCTTTCATGTTAGCTGCCTTTCTCAGATGTCTGATGATGCTTGGTTGCTCATGTTTAACTAAAATACTGGTTAGAAGCCCTGAGAGCTGGGCTGGGTGTTGACGCCAGACTTCAGAGCCTGGTGGTTCAGCTGGGCCGTTTGTCCTGCAACACTGGGTGTCAGGACCTTTAGGAATTTCTTTTGGGGTTGGTTGTCCAGTTGATCTGCTCTCTGGAGCCAAGGAGGGAGGACTCAGTAGGGTTCTCAGTCTTTTGTAAATTGTCACTTTATTTTCTTGTTTTAATAGATAGCCCTGTCTTCAACAGTGCCTAGTTTCCTGTGGTGCATAGACCCCTCCAGAAAATAAAACCCCAGATGTCTGCTGGCTTGGGAGTAGACAGGGCAGCCATCTGGCTGAAGCAAGAAGATTTGGGGCTTCAAAGGCTCCTTAAATAGGCTTTCAACCAGTCCTTGTGTTTTTGTCTCTACATTCACACCCATTTTCAGAAGTACTGCCAATTTGTAAAAGTTTGGGGTCTCCTCCAGGATAATGAGGCTGCTTCTCAGCTTTTCTTATTGCAAGGTCAGGAAGCCACTTTCTCAGATGGAAGTTGTCAACTTATGTCCACCTACTTTTCAACTTGAAAAGTTTTGTTCCTTGGTTTCCTCTCTTATTCTCTAAAGGATTACAAATTGTAAAAATGCAGTTTAATTCTGTCCATTCTAATGTGGTGTGGGGAGAGATTGAAACTCTGTCAACTCGCCTAAAACTTCTCTTCATCTATTCTTTGTCAAGGTTATTTACTTTGACATTTGCTTGGTTCTATTTTGAGACTGATTGAAGAGCTGATTATTTGATGACTGAATTTTTGTCATTTATTATCATCTATTCAGATTCTTCCACTTAAAGAATGTGTGCTATGTTAACTTTAAGGCAAAATAGATCTAATTTACTGGACAAAATGATGGAATGCCATTCCAGAGATTTCTCCCTGTCCCTGCCTGAGAAGTTTTTGTATGAAAGAGCACTGGTCCCCAGTCCTTTCTCTTCCACCTGTTAGCTCTGTGAACTTCAGATACTTTATCTTTCTGGGCCACAGTTGCTATTATAGGTTAGGCACGTTTGTGTTAAATCATAGAACACACACTACTGGTTCATAGTAACTGCTCATTCAGTGTCAGTTGAATTGCCGTTCTGAAAATACCGTAACCATCTATTCTACCATTGATAACATGTGAAACATTAAAGAAAGTTTCTTTTAATTTGTGGGTTGTTTTATAATTTTCTTTAATGGGTCTAAAATTTAGCTGAAATAGTTCTTTTCTTTATAAAAATTTCAAAATATTTTATCAAATAGCATAAATCATTTTAAGCATTTTTGCTTATTCATTTGTTTATCTTAAGGAACTACTAGTAAGAACTTTGTAAACTTCACTGAACTGTACTTGACATAATATCTCCTTCATTGGGACTATATATAATTAGTCTTGAGATAAATCAACATGCTAATTGAATGTAATTATGATAAGGATGACAAAAAATTAAATTTTGCCCAGTAAGTCCTCATTCATAGTTCTTTAAATATGGAAGTGTTAATATTTCTGATTTAAGATAGCAAACTATCTTATTATCTATATTTCTTCTTCCTTTCTTTCCTCCTCCCCCCAGGAAAAAGCAGTTACTTTCAGTTCTATCTCTGTCTTATTTGGTTGAGTGCAGTAAACTTCCAAATGATTTACCTACATCCAGATTCATCATACTTTACTCTCTGTGTAGTCTTTCTTTGTCAACTACTATTTTTGAAATGGAAATTTTAGAATTGCTCCTATATTCCTTAAAATCCTTTGCTGTTGATTAGTCACTAAGTCCTGTCCAATTCTTTGCGACCCCATGTACTGTAGTCCGCCAGGCTCCTCTGTCCATGGGATTCCTCAGGCCAGAATACTGGAGTGGGTTGCCATTTCCTTCTCTAATCCTTTAGTAACCTCCATTGGTCTAAACCTTTAGGGTGGCATTCAAGACGTATGATCTGGTCCTCATCTGAAGTCATTATATGCCTCTCATTCACATATGCCCTAAGCTTTAACCAAATCTCTTAACACTTTCAAGTTTTGTGATGCCAGTATGTGAGAACTACTTAAGCTGACTTGTCATTTGTGTTAGGAAGACTAAAGCCCTCTTTTCCCCTTGTTTAGTTTTCAGTATTTTATAATTGCTTATTTAATTACCCAAATTCCTTTAGTAAATGTGAGTAGTATGAAGGTAGTAATTTTTGTCTTTTTTTTTTTTTTCTTTCACGGTGCAGGCCTAACAATCAGAGTTTGTTCATTGAGTGATGTATAGTTTTGGCAGTTGGTAAATGTTTTGTTTTAAAAACAGAAAATGTTGTAATTTTACATAAATAGGGAAGAATTTAATTCAAATAATAAATATGTTTTATAGCCTTCAGTTTGGAAACCTGCAGAATTATGATTGCCATGTTGGATGTATCCTTTAGTAAAAACAAAAAATACTAGAATATGGAATAATTACCCTTAAGGCAGTTGTTAGGTATAAATGATTATAGTAAACTAGAGTGTTTAAAAATACTTTGTAACATCCTATTTGAATTCCGTTCTTTTCCATTTTTACACAAATCTATTTATATGCTAAATTGGCTAACTCTTGCAGAAGTGAGCTCACAATTTTTTAGTCAGTTATTTGGAATTTTGATTCCAGGTTAAATTCTCTTTGGTATCAGGATTTATTTTCATTAATAAAACTATCAGAGAGATTACACAGGAAAAATGGGATTTAATGAATTCAAAGAACTTTGGGCAGCTCTTAACTCCTGGAAGCAAAACTTCGTAACTGTTGATAAAGATGGAAGTGGCTCAGTAGAGCATCATGAATTGAATCAAGCCATTGCTGCTATGGGTAAGCATATTAAAATTCTTTAAATAAATCCAGGTCATCTTTGTTCTTTGATCAGATGAATCTTAATTGTTTAAACTTCTAAGTAATAAAAGGGTATATTATTTCAGCAGCTATTGTCCAGTTTGAGTTCAAGGTTATAGGTACATTCTGATTAAATGTCTTTAACAAAACCATTTTATTTGTGAGCTTTTCAAAGAATAATCTTTCATGCATTCTGGTTGATAAAACAGTTTCTGAATTTCCTATGATGAATATACTTAAATTTATTCTAATTGTTCGTACTCATCATTTATATTGTATACTTCTGTAACTTGGTAAGATCTCTAATTTGATGGCAAAAGCTTATCTCAATAACAGGTCTCCATACATGGTCTAGTTGCTCTTCTTTTTTATGTAGTGTAGAACACACAGTAGACACCCAAAAAACAAAAAACCTCAAAATGAGAAGTCTGCATTTTAGAGTATCTCAAAAGACTAAACTTTATTTTTATCGTATCTCTGATAAGCTAAAGTTCTCAGTCTGTTTTCTTTCAAAAAATGACAATATGAATGGTGTGTAACTTGCTCAGGGCTTCCGTCATAGCTCAGTTGGTAAAGAATCTGCCAGCAATGCAGGAGACCCCAGCTCAATACCAGGAAGATCCTCTGGAGAAGGAATAGGCTACCCATCCAGTATTCTTGGGCTTTCCTTGTGGCTCAACTGGTTAAATAATCCGCCTGCAATGTGGGAGACCTGGGTTCAATCCCTGAGTTAGGAAGATCCCCTGGAGAAGGGAAAGGCTACCCACTTCGGTATTCTGGCCTGGAGAAGTCCATGGACTATATACAGTCCATTTAACTTGCTTACAGTAACATAGTTTTAAGTAGTTTTCTTGATTGCATTTATGCTTGTGATTTTGTTTACATTATTTCTAAACAAAATGCTTTTGTAACAAAACTAACTTTTGAAAGATTGTACTTTTCAGAAATCTGAACAAGTGTAAATTATCTCAAATTTCAGTTTAAAGTCAAAACCATGATTTTTTATAAATAGACATGTTAATAAATTGTCATTTTAGGGATAGTCCTGTCCATATAAACTTCTATAGTTTAATTATAGAGTCTTAATTCCTAATGAATTAAACTTGGTTCTTAATTCTGCACAATGTTGGAAAATTAATATAGCCATTTGGAAAAAAGAAAACCACCAAAGAATTCACATAGGCAGTTGAATTTAAGTAACAAAGAGGCATTCTATATTATTAAAATTTTAGGTCTTCAGATATATTTTAAAATATTCAATTTGTTTTTGCTGAGAATGCTATGGAAAATCTTGTGAATTTTATCAGTCCCATATCCACCTGGATCATAACTCTCTAGTAGGAAGCTGGGTTTATTTGCATGTAATAACATTCACTTGCATATTTGACTTCTATTAATTTATATGTTTCCTTTCAGTTACTTTTACTAAGTTTCCTGGTTTGCATTTCATTATAGCTATTTGTAGAATTATCTTCTGTTGCATTTATTTTCATTATTTTTCCCTTTGACTGGATGAATGTCTTTTGTCTATATCTAATCCAGTAATATACAAAGACAACATTTCTAGGGCAGCTTTCTTCACAGTAAAATATACACATCTCATTAAATACATAGGACCATCACTAGGGGGGGACAACAAGTAAAATAATTTATATTTCTAATTACTTTTATTCCATTATTTTAAATTTTAGTTTTTTATATATTTTAAAATTTAAATAAATAGTAATACTTGTATAGAATTTAAGACTAAATAATATACATATAATGGGAGTGAGTGATCCAAAACTTTTTACTCGAAGTATGCATTCAAAAACTCTTGGAGTCCACTGGGCTAGACAGAAAAGAACTAAGGAAAGAGTAAAAAGACTGGTTAAGATGAAAAATCTATGAAGAAACATAATAAGGGTTATAGGCCAAAATGGAATAACATTTCCCTATTTCTTCCCCCTCTAAGTAACCATGTTGAATCTTAAATTTTCTTTGACTCTAAGACAATACAGTCAATGGGAAATACAGGTTTGAATGATAGCAAAGATCACTAATAATCTTTGCTTTGATGTTTTTGAAGAACTATAAAATTACAGGGTTTAAAAATTGATGAATTAAAAAACCTATGACTACATTAGACATTATTTCAAAATGAAAATATATTTTACAAACACAAAAAAATAATTGTTTTCTTTTTCCTAGCTTTGAGTTTTTATAGAGTTGGAATTGTGAAATTTATGTACCACTTTTGCTATTAGTAATGAAACCTTTCCTGATCAATTTCAATAGGAATGTGTTTTGTTTCTGATATATATTTTTATGTAGTGAATTCTGAAAGTTAATTTGTTTTATAACTTAATATTAACAAGAATACATTGTTGGTTAATGGTGTTCTTATGATGTGTAGTTTTAGAAGTTTTAATCTAGCAATCCCTTTTTCTAGGTTATAGGTTGAGTCCTCAAACAGTAACTACCATTGTCAAACGTTATGGCAAGAATGGCAGAATCTTCTTTGATGATTATGTTGCTTGCTGTGTGAAGCTTCGAGCATTAACAGGTATGGACCATTTATGGGCACAGCATTATGGGACTTTTTTCCCCAAATGATGTCCCTCATTTTCTTCAGCAAAGTGATAGCATTATGTGTCTTCCCCTCATTATTCACTGTTAAATCTTATCAGAGTTCTAAGGCTTTAAAACTTTAGGAATATAAATAGTGAAAAAATGTTATAGCTCAGTTTTGGAAAATTTTCTCCATATCTCAGTGACCTGGGACATAAAAAAAAATCACAAGATTTACTAGAGTGTAAAATTATTCCTTTTGTAATACCTGGGGGCACCAGTTATTTAAAACTAGATTTTAAACTATAACACAGAAAATAATTTCTCGTTTAAAGATTTCTTTAGGAGAAGAGACCACTTGCAACAAGGGGTTGTGAGTTTCGTATATGACGATGTGAGTATCCTGTATTACACTTTGGATATTTATACTGTGTTCTATGTGTGTTCATAGTGATCAGAGAATGTAAATGATCTCTGGTTTCAGTTGGAGATAATATATTTTAAAAACCATATTCCTTTTCTATAGTTTTCAGTGTAACTCAAATATAAAATTCAGTAGTGGTATAAGTAACCAATTTGACTTGATATTAAACATAAAAATACTTTAAACTTTTATGACAGTGATTTTGGCAGTTTATGTTCCAAATCATTTTTAAGGGCAAATTTATAAAGACTGTTTTACTCGTGATGATCTTTCTTCTGAAAGAGATAGGAGATGTTCATCTATGATAGGTAATGGAACTATTCATTTCTCATTTCAGTTGTTGCTATTAAGCTGAGTCCATGTTTTTTTTTTTTTTTTTAATTGAAGCTACAGGAAAGGTTATATTTCACATGTTCTTAAGTGTTTCAGGGTTTTGTTTGTGTTATGTGGAAATTATAAGGTCAACTTTATCCTACTAGTATAATACTGGTTTGAGTTACAAGCCTTAGACAGTAAAAATTTCTCCTCTTGAGAAAATGCTTCTGTGGAATATAATTAGAGACAAAACATTAAAGACAAAAACCATGTGGTTGTTACCAAATGATGATTTTGCCTGTTATTAGTTTTTGCAGGGCACAATGGCAATTTGAATGTCTAGAATTTGAAAGATGAAGAAATACTGTGAGTTTCTCTGCTTAGAAGAAATGAACTGGACTCCTTAGAATTAAAGCTTCTAAGGCTTTTCCATATTCCATATATTGAATCTCTTCTCTGAGTTTTTACTGTAGCTCACAGTGTAAAGCAATAAAAGAGATGTTTTTGTATTTGGAATATTATTGCTTTTAGTAAGGTTATAACTTTAGAGATCTCTGCATAGTCAACATAGGTGTATAATTAAGTGATATAAATACCTCTTAACTTTAATTTTCTTTATTAATTACAAGATAGATTATATATTTGGAAAAGATAGATTGTATAAGAAGCTAAATGATGAAAGCCTAAATAAAACTAATTTATACTTACCTGAAGGTTACAAATTATATTTTGAAAAATTTGTTTGCACTTGTTGGTATTTGAAGGTGAGCCAGAAAGGGAAGCCTAGATTTTGTGCCATCTTTATAGTAGGGCTTTTTATTTGCTCACATATCAGAAAACAGAAACTTGCGACTCTTCGCCTGTGAAGAAAATTGTAGTTCCTAAAATTTTATCCTGAGTCACATTCAGTTCAGTTCAGTTCAGTCGCTCAGTGCTCAGTTGTGTCTGACTCTTTGTGACCCCATGAATCGCAGCACGCCAGGCACATTAGGTGGACCAAAAATTAATCTTTGGTGAAATAAAATTCAAGGAGGCATTGTTTTTCCTTTTTTAATTTTTTGCAGTATATGTTTTTCTTCAGTGTGTTTTATTGTCTTCTGTGGAACAAAATTCTTAATGAACATAACTTCTTTCTCTGTATAGATAACCTAAAATGGCATCTTTGTTTAAATTTAGGTTTTCTGCAAATGACATATTTTTAATGAAATGTCAATATTTAAGTTTGTTATTTTAAACTAAATTGTTGACACATACTGCTATTAGCTATTTATAAAATTTTTAAAAAATCAAGTAACCTACCACTTTGTTTAAATGTTTAGAAATTATAGGTTTGACTTTCTTGACAGCATTAGTCCGTGATTTTGACATTAGTAAACCCATAAGTCTTTCTCAGTAAGTGTAATGTGGGTCCTGAGCATGGTAGACAGCGTTTCTGAGTGGCATTACTATGAAAATTGAAAGTGGAATCACCAGGTTCTTAGCATTTTAAGATTACTGATAAAAGTTATTGTAGTTAATCAGTCCCTTTCTTGGCAAACACGCCTCAGTCTTTCTAAATGAAGAGTTAGTAAACCACATACATTTATTACACTTTAACTGAATATCTTCTAGCTTAAAGGTGAATACAAATTAACATAATTTTAATATGGCTTGTGATCAAATTAATAATATAGTTTTACATGGAAGTTTCATAAAAATGGAAGATGAGTGGTAGTCTCTTGAAAAGAAAAAAAACCTTTTATAAAGATAGAGAATTGTAGATCAACTTTCACTTTAAAAAAACCTGGAAAGGAAGTAATGTATACCCTTGTTGATATTGATAATTTTACATAATTAGCTGTCAAATTCATTTGGCCAGATTTATAAAAATGTGTGAATAAATAATTCATGTAATTTTGTCCTCTGGCTGTTAATTTTTTTCATGAACATATATTTGATAATGTAAGAGCATGTTAACTGAGCCATAAAAGATACAGAATTCTAATTAGCAGTGTTATAGGAAAGAGATCATATAAACAAATTGTGTATCATTCGTGTTGAATAAGGGTGATACTGTGACTCAGCAGCATGGAATCTTAATATACACTTTGTACAGTTGGTTGAGTTATTGTACTATTCTGAGGTCAGTTATAATTTTCCTTATTTGGATGCTCATAGTTGAGGTCAAACTTTTAAAATGGTATGACATGAGTCATATGAGTTTTGTCAAATGACACTTTGAGTTAGGACTTTTACATGCTTCTCTTTAACTCATCCTTTACCAAAGGTGTTCCTATGACTTTTGGTCATAGGCGGTCTGAAGAAGTTCCCAGGACCAAAGGTATTTAGGAAACCCTCATCTTCCTCAGAAAGCTTAATAAAACCTAAGGTACAGAAAATCTCAATTTTATTTGACTCAATTTTTTCTGAAATTTTTTAACCTCAGAACCCTTCCTCTTAACAAAACTGATATTCTATGCCAATCCAAGCTGGTTGTCAGGCAGTTGTTTTGTACTTCACATTGGATAATCCTTTTTTTTTTTAATCCATAGAATTTTATTTGCATTTAGCCCCTTTTCAAATTTTGCTTATACTAATGATGAGAACATAAATCTAGAAATAAGATTTGTGAAATCATCACTTTCCTTCCAAATTCCCAAATTAACATTATTTCAAATACTAGGGTCATTTTGGCCTTCAGGACAATTACATATTTTTCTAGTGCTCAGTTTTCTAATCTGTACACATTAGAAAATCTTATATAAACATTAGCCATAGAGAATACATTACCAGGATTTTTCTGCTAAAAGGCAATTCATATTTTTAATGCTTTTAAAATAGTGTAAACAGAATCTATTACTAAGGTAAAAATTAAATCATTTTATAATGAACATGAATGTGAATATAGTGTGGTAGTTTGTACTAATTAACTCATGCCCCAGTTTTCTTATGATGATGTAAATTATTAAATCATGTACACTCTTAATGTCTAAGTGCTTTTATTTATACAATAAACATGTTTCCATGTCATTTTGAGAATTTTTTTAATAAACATTCAAATAGCTTGCTGTAAAGTTTTGCATCATACAAAATCTGTAACATATATATTAAGAGATTCTTCAGTTCAAGTAACAGTGCAGTAATTCACCTATGCTTAAAAGACTGCCAAATGATTAAATGTCAGGTATTGCACTTCTATTTTGAGTGGCAGTTTACACATTTTAAATTACATTACAGGGGGTAATCAATACTATTGGAATCTTAATTTGGTCCACTTTCAAGTGTAATTTCAAGGACTGTGTTCATTTGATCTATCAAGCATGCATTCAGAAACAAAATGTAATAGAAAGATGTCAAGTGATATGTTTATTTCCAGAGAAGGCATTTACCCTGGAAGAGAGTAAAATTTATTAATGTAGTTAAAATCTGTGTAATTGAAAATATAAATTGTGATTTCTTTAAGTAAAATATATAAATCAAGGTCACTGTTATGGCATTACAAAACTGAATAAACAAATACTATATGTCAGAAGTGTGCTTTTCTTTGTCCTTTTATGTTTGACAAACATAAATGATATGTTTTTTTTTGTAGCAGTTTTCTGGGAAATTAATAGGAGTAAATTTGTTAAAATCTGTTAAATCTAGTGAGTAAAATTCAATACATTTTTCAGGTTAGTATATTCTTCTTTTCTCTTAAACTTTAAAATGCAACCACGGGTGTTTTATTACTTTGAAACTATTACAATATCACATTTTTGTTGGTCACAAATCATTTTCATAGCAAATTGAGCATTTTTAAATAAATGTATAATGTAAGGTATCATCTAAGAGTCTGTCTTGATTTCATAATACTAGATGATACAAAGAAAAATATTTAGAACTTGTGTTACAGTGATGAATACAGGCAGGGCTTTTAGATGAATACTGTTCAAATAAGTTATAGTCTAGAATAAGGTCATAAAATTACATATGTCTTTACTGAATTCAAATTGTCCTGTAATGTGGAGTTCTGAGCGCAAAACTACTTTGCAGAAAACTGGGAAAGTTAAGAAAAATTTCTCTGTCTCACTATCAGATCCTGGGAAACTTGCCCTTTTGTTTTTTGCCATGTCTACTTATTTTAAAAAGCATAGTAAAGAAAAGAACCTTAGATTACTTAACATTCCTTTTACCCATGTAGCTTGGTAATATACAGCTTTGTGTATTACTTTTTGAGCATTCAAATTTCAGATATGCTTCTTTATCTGAATACATCACTCTGAATACATAGACATTGGCGGCAAGCCTACATTGCTATGATGTGCCCTGTGTACTGTGAGGGGAACAGTAGGCTCCTTGCCTGTGTGCTACTTGGGTCTTTAGATGTGCCCCTTCTGCACCGCCAGAGATGGTGGCAGTTTCGAAATCTTACAGGGAGTGAGAAGAATTGGTCTAGGTCATATTTAATAGCTATATTCAGAGACAAGCATGCCAGGAGTTAGCACCCCTTCTTCTGATACAGTGTATGTGTATGTGTCTATGTGTGTGCCCTTGCATCAGGGGGGAGACAGAACCTTTTCCCAGAAGCATGAAAATACAAATATGTACTTTAGGGTACAGTTATTTGCATTTTAGTTGACTGTATTTAATCACATTTTATATTGTTATGATTACTGAAATTGCAAAGGATAACCTGAACATTGCTAGTATGGATATTCCAGAAACATACTAATTAAAGATCCATATTCTTTTGAAAATTATAGGCCACTTTAAAAAGACTTTAGGGTTAACTGAACTTGTGAATATGTATTTAATTTCCCAAAGCTATCTAAATGCATTGCACCTACATTTATCTTAAGGCAAGAGAATCTTTTAAAAGAGATTTTGTTTTTTCATACTTTGATTCTTATTTTTTAATCAGCTTCACTTCTAGATAGTACAGTGCTTTTTGCTACTTTGTATTTGGTTTGGTTTTTTTATTTATCAAATAGGGCAATGTTCTCTTGGTTTTTTTAAACCTTAAAAGTGAATAGTGGGTAATTTCAACCCTAAACAGACAAACAGCCCTTAGCTAAGAACATTCCATGTTATGATCAATCAATTTTATTTAAAAGTTTTCTTTAAAGATAATTTGATTTTTAAAAAAATAATAGGTAAATGATTCCAGGGGAAGAACTAAAAATGTATGAAACAGGCAAATGAAAATTGTATCCCAACATTTTCATTCTAGATGAAAAATATGTATCAAGCATACATTATAAAAAAATTTATCTCATGCAAGTTAAAGCCTGATTAGTCATTGGAAATTTTAAATAAATAGTAAGTGTTGTAGTAAATTACTATTGTGTTCTTGAGGGGCAAAAAGTGAAGGGTTGTC